TCCCAAATCCTCCAGAAAATTCCAGAAACGGGTCTGAAAATGCGAGAAAGGAAAAACCAGAGTTTGATGGTGCTTATATGTGCTTATCATATCAGTTTTCATCAGTTTTCCATCATTTTTAACCGCGCTGACAATGGCATAATGGGGTTTCACCTTCACTCAAGTGAACAAAATGCTATTTCTGCATCTCGTTTGAGCACCAAGCAACCTATCACCATGGCATGCTGCCCATGGCAGGTGGCTGGGTTGCACCCTGGGGCGACACATCGGAACCGCAGTATCCGCCAACCGAAATTCCGATGCCCTTAGACTGGCAGTGAACGGCGTTGCCAACGTCGCATCCTTTCCTTGGATGTGATGCGACGTGGCAGATATGGTGAGGACTGGAAGCCCCAATGATACCCCGTGAAGAAGTGATACAAGATATAAAAGTGGGACTGTAGACTGTAGTTCCTGTAGTTTTTGATGGAACATTGTTGTTGATTTTGTTTTGGTATGGTTGAAATTGTGTTGGATTGACGGCAGTTTGAAGGCTTCCAGCAGGGTGAGGGTTTTTGTTCAAAGCGTTGTCTTCAGCCATTGTAGTTCCTAGAAGTGGAGAAACATCTTCTTTGGAACACACTAATTACAATGCGGCAGCGGGAAGTTGGGAAGGGAGGTCTTTAGATCTGGTGGTTTCAAATCACATGGGATTGTTTGCTCACATGACCAGCTGTTTTCCATTCATGTGGCAATTGGATGCCAAGCATTGCAGCGGCCCGGCTGCGGCTGCGGCTACTTGGCGATTGAACCCACCAGCTGTAGTGGAGGTAGACAGCTGTAGTTGGAGTCATCATCAGTTTCACAACGTGAGCGAAAGGGGCCACTTGAAAGTGTTTCTTTCGTCAGCCAAAATTTTTTTAGGCGCAACACCAATGAAACTAGGATCACACTTGATTAAACAAGAATAGTGCACGTTGTTTTTTCTGGGTAATGGTGGCACTTTTTCTTGGTAAAATATACATTTATGTCAACTACCGCGCAAAGACAGGCCCCTTGAATGAATCAATGTTCTTTTTTAACTACCAACCGAGTTGTGCTATCTGAATCATAGCCGTCTGCAGCGAATCTGCCGAAGTCAGCGGATGTTCAACGCGTTTTCGAATTGGCCATGTCGCTCATGGTTGGTAGTTGCCAGCGGGACACCGCTGGCTCCAAACAGGGACCAGCGGCTCGCAAACCTGAGTAACTTGCTGGTGGGCAAACCACTATGGCAAGATTGCCTGGATTCTGGGTGGATTCAAGTTCAGTTGGCCAAAGGTATGTAAATGTATGTGAGTCAGCACATGCTTCGACACAGATTGGCTGTAGTTGGATGTATTTGGATGTATTTGGATGTTATTGTTTCGCATGTTGTTGAGTTCAGGTTTCATGGAAATTCCAAGAGATTCCAGGTTGGAAAGTTTCGGCTGGATAGCAAGAAGTTGTATAGTCGCACACTCTTGTGCGTGAAAACCTTGCGTGAGCACTGCAGCCTGCGAGGCGCAACTCACAACTGCCGACTTTCCTCGTTTTTGGGTACCCTACATCAGGATACATGGTGAGCACGTTGCAACCTGCTCCACAGGTCGAGGCTGACGGAGCTACGGTGTGAATTTTTTGCGGTATCACGGCCCGCGAGGCAGTGAGAAGCAACTCGGCAACGTGAAATCAGATTTGGTGGTTTCTTTCTGGTAGACTCAGATTGGTAAGTGGAAGACCGCTGAGTGTCGCGGGATGAAGCCACCCCGACTGCAACGGCCATGCAACGGACTTGCAACCGACTTGCAACGGGACTGAACTGACTGAAGAAGGTGTTTAATTGGGCCTCGCCCTCGTTTCGCAACGTCAACGCAGAGCAAGACTGGTTATGTTAAAGGATTTTTTTCAAGGCCTAAAACCACTAGAATCACTAGAACTCAGACCACACATGCCATCACATGCCCACATTTTGCTTGGCAATGAGCCAAAGTTGTAGCTTTAAACATGGCCAACCGAACTGGCCAGCCATCGCTCATGGGTTGTTCGTTGAGTTCCAGGAGAGATTCGCCACGCCTCGGCGTGGTCGACGTTCTCCTGACAACTTGCCGTGGGACTCCACAATTTATGGCAAGATGCCTGGATTCTGTGTGGATTTGTGGCGTTCAGTTGGCCAAGAATGGCAAGATATGGCAAGTCAAGACGTGCTTCTGAACACTTTGGATGGATTTGGGTGTTTTGCATTTTGAGTCAGTTTCAAAAAATGCAAGCGGTTGTTTAGTTCATGTTCCTTGCATATTCCAAAAGATTCCAGGTTGGAAAGTTTCGGCCGGATAGCAAGACGTCAGAGTCGCGATGTGTTGAGGGCACAGCACGACTAAGATTGCAACCACCAGCCGACTTTCCTGGGTGCAGAAAAGGTTGGTTTCAGGTGCTGGGAGTGTGCTTGGGAAGCAAGATGCTTGACATGATGTCGGTCTCCAAGTGCAGGGAATAAGGTGCTGAGTCACTTGTCTGTACACTAGTAAGCCTGTGGGCTTCAGTACCTGACCCCCTGCATTTGTCGCAGACTGCAGCCTGCCTCAGGCCAGGGAATGGCTAGCTGTCCTACAGCTAGTCTATAGAGTTCATATATGCCGGACGCCGGCGTGTAGGGAACTCCACCGCTGCCTTGGCACGTATTGTGACCTTGGCACGGCAGATCTTCACTGCTGTACAGTAGGTGAAGATCTCCAATGACCATTGATGTTTCCGCGTGAAGCCGATGGCATTGGAAGATGACTGCTGGTAGTAGTCTATCAAACTTTCTGTCAGCAGAGCATTTACCGCGTTTGACGCCTGACGCGATCACACGCTGAGCCTTCGCCGCCTGATGCACAAGTAGTGTGGGCATGCCAAGGCATCACCGAATTGACTATAAACTGGAATGGGTACTCCGGAAAACATTCGGGCCACATTCGCAGCTGCGAATGGGTCCGTCCCAGCTGCAAGTGCACGCTAAGAGTGCAACGCTCCGTGCATTGCAGCACACTTTTGTACATTAGCTGGCTGATCTTGGTGAGACATTGGTGGACAGGTCCTCTCCAGTTCTATGATTGAAAAAGTGCAAGAAATTGACAGGTTTCTTATGGTATCCAGTATCCTTATGTTTTTGTTGGTTGAATCTAAGGTAAATGTTATCAAAACTACTAGAGTCTATATGCGTGATTACTGGTCAAAATACGCTGGGCGAGGACACACCAATACACAAATACATACTTATCCTCAGGATTTGAGGCAATTGAAAAAGGATCCTGATTAAAAGCAATCCATGGCATCATGGCACTTTGGTATGGAAAAGAGCCAACTCTTGCTGTCGGTCTGACTCGAGAAACATTAGCAAACAGAAAACCTCAAAATGAGAACAACTTTGTGGAACGGGGCTCATCTTGGCGATTGATCTCTGATAGTTCCATTTTTCTACACATCCATTCGTTCGAGATGTTTCATTTCTTAGTTTTCTTGCCAGATTTTCACCATTCCATCAGATATTCCATGGGGATCCATGGGTAATTTGATTCGCTTGGAGCCCCGTTGTTTGGGTAATGAACCACCGATGGCTCGTATGGTTGGGGCCCCGTTGGCTCAACAGGTAGGCATACCACACAGGCATCCATGCAGCATCCTGGGGGAGATGGTTGCTATATGTTGCTATGAAGCTGGAAATCCAGCCCCGTACTACCAGAAGTTTGGATGGTGAGAAATGCGAAATGCGTATCCATAGACATGGATGATATCTATTACCCTGCAATAGACTATCATAAAGATGCAAAACCATCTTATTTTCCCCTTCGAAACATTATCTACATGTATATATGGGGGGTATTCCATGTCAATCATTTGCTGGAGGGTATGCGTAAGGAATCTGAACTCTGCCATGATGAAACACAGATTTCCTAATAAGCTGTGGACGTTTCGATCGACCCCTTTTTTTGACGTGAACACCTTGCGACAAGCAATGAATACTGGGAATCTAATCATCTAATCGGTCAACAATCGTGATATAGCCGGATATAACCAGGAAAAAAACGGTGAAATTTAAAATGGGATGAACAGGAATACGACCAGTAATACTTGGATGTGCATCCCAGTTGCTATGTTGTGCTTCATCCCAGTGATTTCAGTGGGATGAGTAGATTTGATCTATTGAGAAACGCTGGTAGTAGAAGCTCCCAATCAGGTGAGGCAGCCTAGTTTTTAATGTTGCTTGCGTTAAAAAAAACATTATTGGTTGGTGGTTTGGAACATGTCTTATTTTCCTATGGAATAATTATCCAAACTGACGAACTCATATTTTTCAGAGGGGTGGCGAAAAACCACCAACCAGATATATATCTCCATTATATACATATATATATATGTTATAATCCCATCATATAACCATATATAACCACTATAATTGGTATTATAACCACTATTATTGTATAACAAAACACTATAAACCCCATGATCTAGTTCGTGAAGTTCCCCACATAAATTCACCCGTTGTGAATTGCTAAGTCAATCTGAAGGCGCCGCCTTCGGCATCACGATCATCACGGTATCGATTCTCCTCAGCTGTTTAGAGTAGCGATGCGGCGATGCCTGTCAGGCAAAAACAAAACGTCCCCCGGCTTGGGGAGTTTAACATCACCAGAAATGGTGAAGTTATGTCCTCAATATTATATTCCTCAATTCAGATGATTTCAGATGGTTATTTTTTTGAGTGAAAGCTGCTGAAAGCTCTTTTTTTCGAGATCCATTGGTAAAATTTGGCGAACAAAGGTCCACAAGAGAACTGAAACCAACCAGTTTTATAGGTTTATCAGCACATTCATTGAATCTATTAGACGTATTTTTTGTTCCCATTTTTGGATGGTCAAATTCCAACTTTTGCTTTGAAATCCTCATGTTGGATGGTCAGATCCTGTTGAAGTCAACTGAGGTCAACTAACTTGTGATTTCCTCTCCTCTCACTTCAAAAGGTGTTAAGTTTCCAGCGCCAGCCATGGTGCCCGTGCCCTACCGCCTCCTGCGATGAGCCAAAAAAGTTGGGAAGCCAAGACTTTCAAAGGAACCCCCAAACATGATCAAACATGTGGCGTGAAAACATGAAAGATGTGGAATCTACCTGCTTAAAGACACCAAACACATGACATAGCGATGTAAAAATCCGATTTTCATCACCCAACATTTGGAAAAAAGGCCGAAGGAAAAAATGGGGAATCCAACCAACACCAGTCGGGTAGACGCAGTCGGGATTTGATCATCCCACATGTGGTGATGTTACCAGGAAAAACATGGGGTGTTTTTAACCAAGAAAAATGGCAAATCGGAAAACCGTGGTCAACCATGGACTTAATCATTAGAAATACGAGGGTGAACACCATCAACATATCGGGAACTAACCATTAAGCTATGGCTGAATCTTGGGTAGGATACACTGGGCTGCATCCATGTGGTTGCGCCGAGGGCGAAGTCCCCGTCAACTGCGGGTTTCTTTGAAGCTTTGAAGAATTCAGGGGACAACCTAAAATTTCATGGTTTTTTGAAAATCAGAGAACATCATAATTTCCCTATTAGAGTGGTTCCATTTTTAGATACAGCCATGATATGCTGAGTGGTTCCATTTTTAGATACATGGTATATGATCATCCCTGAGATCTCACACCGGGGCACCACCAAGTTTCGTCAATGTTTTGACATCGGATTTTGCCAGTTTTTAATTAATGATTCATACCCAAGTTTCCCTGAAATGTGTGTTTTGTGCGCGTTTTCCCTAAAGCTTATACTCCAGTTATTCATATGGCTTGTGTCAATTTCACAAAGTGGGGGGGCCCTTAGTTATCTTTGTTGGCTTGTAGCCTCATCTAACCCGATCAATATATCCCCCTAGTCAAGCCAACAGTTGTTGTAGTTATGTTTACCACGTTAGTTATCGACCAGGGGGCCACATTGTATATCCCATCTGATTGAAAAAATAGTTGGTTGATAGGTGTCCCACATGGATTTGTTCATAATCCCCAACAACCAGGTAGTAGAACCTCTTATCTCATAACCGATCAACCATTGTTATCAACGATATATATCCATATTATATATATATATACAGAATCCTAATAAACACCATATATTACGTAATACTAATTATATATATTATTATTGGATAGTATTGGTCTTATATTAATACCAATAATAATACTATCTAATACTCATAATACTAATGTTTATTAACCACTGAGTATAATATAGTATTACGAGTATTAATTAATCAACCATTCATTGTAAATTAACCATACATATAGGTATTAATCATATGCGTTTAGTATACCATAATACAAATAATCAATGGGAATTTCAAGATCCTACAATGGAGGTACCTGCCATATATAAGGCCTATTTTTTAGGCCTATGTAAGTGAATATCACCACAATTCATATGGCCAAAATATGGTACAGCACAGTACCTCCATTTTAGGATCCTGAAATTCCCATTGAACGAATACCAATCAACCAGGTCATAGCAGGTCTTAATCAACCATAATACCATTTCATATTTTTATTAACCATAATCAAATAATCAACCATATATTTTACCATAATACTATTATTAACCATTAACCATATATTATTATTATTATTATTAAACCATAATCAACCATAATACTATTATTAACCATTAATATGACATATATTTTTAACCATTAATCAACCATTAATCAACCATGTCATACCAGGTCTTTTTGTCATAAACCATCTGCTGCACCGGGAAGTTCCCCGCAGGCGATGAGGATCTGCTGCATCTGCTGGAGATCCCCGTGCCATGGCCATATGAAAAAAAGACTAGCCGGCCTGGTGGGAGCAACGCATAGGAAACCCTCTGGTTATGTCAAGAACCATAGGAAAACCATAGGAAAACCATAGGAAAATGGAGGTTTACCCTCTTGGTAAACATACAAAAAGTTATTGAAGCCATGGCCATAGATAGAAATAGTGAGTTTTCCCATGAAAAAACATTGATTTTTTCCATGGTCATGTAAACGTTTACCAGAGGGTAATAGTTGTTTAATCCAGATATCATGGACATGTTCATGGGATTTGTTTGCGGATTATATATATATATATATACTGATTGAGGTTTCCTAAAATAGGGGTACCCCAAATCATCTCCCAAGAACTAGTCAATGGAAAACACCATCAATGAACTAGTCATAGAATGAATATATTCACAAACACATTAGGTCTTAAATGTCAATCATATGTTAGGTAGCTATCCTCTATTGACCATTTGGAAGTTTCCTAAAAATGGGGGTACCCCTAAAACCATCCATTTTGGGGTACTCCCATTTGAGGAATCCCTCATATATCCCCATTTGGTTATGGAAACCTCTGCAAAGATTATGTGGAAGCGCCCATTGAGTTCGATGATTTAGCGAAAATGATGATATGTTTCACATCTATGTTTGTTGACCATATGGATAATACATTCACAATAGTGGTATAGAATAGTGGCCATATGGAAATAGTGACTGTGATAGTATATATTATATAAACTTATTTAAGGGGATGGCAATATGTAGGGACATATATTAATAATTTGAATCCCTACATTTAGATGGTTAATTATTCATATATAGTAGGAATTTACAAGAACCCATAGGATCCATGTATGGTATATATGGTAACATGAACATGGATCCCATCAATATACCCCCTTTATGTTAGCATATATACCAGCACCATGGATCCTATGGGGAATAATATCCTACTATATGTTTGGAATTGTTTGGATAGAATCAACCTTTTTCTAGTTTGGATTATGGGATGACCATGGCGCAGAACTGTTCAAGCTGAAAAACGAGTTCTCGCGCCAGTTCAAGCATTAAAAGAACTGTTCATAATGATTGAACGTAGTTGATATAGTTGATATATCATTTCAGAGTATTTTCCTCATGTAGTTGATATTATTCCTAATGTCGTTGATATTTTTTCATGATATGACATTCAGTGAGAGCTGAACAGTTCAAGTTCTGTCCCTCTCATACCTTGTAGAGTTCAATAGTTCAACCGTGGCGCTCCAATCCGAAAAGGAGATTGGAATCAGCCTGCTCCGTGTCCCATGAAAGTCATATGTTTTTTGTTCCTGGGTAAATGAATAAGTATGATCCTGATTATACTGTTATACCTTCAATTTATATGATATTGTGTAATTTTGGTTGATACCGATGGTTTAGACACATGCTGGTTTGTCATGTTAGTTTGGATATAATATACACCAGCTATTTCTGTGTTTTATCATCACCTTGCCTATATTCAACTTTGGGGATGATTGGCCATTTGGCCATGCCTTAAACTCCAACAAAGCAATTGGATATTCGAATATATTCGATCTCTGATAAACTACCCTTAATTTGATAACCCATTTTATTTAGTGTTTTTTTTGCAAAATCACAAGGAGGTCATGAATCCCAGTCATGAATCCCAGTCGAATTCCATGGGTTTTTCACAGCGATGCGTAACAGATCCAGTATGAATCCCCGATCCCTAGGTGTGTCGTTGATAGATCCCCTATAGGTTGAATATTGATGACAATGATGACATCGATTACACACTATAACAGGTCATAATCAATCATAGTGATGATGATTATGATTATGGATTGTGAATGGGAATAGACTATACATATATATATATATTCCACATATTCCCACTTAACAAGCCATATAATCACCATTTTACAGATGATTCCAAATGACTTCTACACTTTCCCAGGTGGGCGAACTGATTTTGGAGTCGCGCATCGGCGTAGGCTTCACGGCGGAGGTCTACAAGGGCATCTGGACGCGCCGGGGCGACACGGTGCCCCGACGTGGCGTTGCGACGGGGACCGGGGACCGGGGACCGGTGGAGGGACGTGGCGTGGAAAATCCTGGCGAAACCCTAGGGAAAAATGGGGAAATCCAGAAAACTGTGAAAATTTTGGAAAAATCTTGGGAAACTTCGAAACATCTGGAAAAATGGTACGGTAGGGTTTTCAAAAAGGAGAATTCACAGTGGTAGTTGGAGTGTAGTGCGAAAACCTTAAGTCATTCCCGTTGGATGGATGCTAAATGTTGGTTTCAAATTTCAAACCCATCTCTGGCTGATGTTTTTTTTAATCTATTCACTCGCACGCATGGGTTCATATTCGTTTAAAGAAGCTTGCCGCCCACAAACACCATAGGGTCGATCGCCTCTCTATTGAATGTGTCATCACATTCATTACATTTCATTACGACATACTCATAGAATAGAGACCGCTATATTTCACCCATGCAATATATCTGATTCATATCCCATAGGATCCATGATGCTGGTATATATGCTAACATTTGGGGTATATTGATGGTAAATGTTACCATATATATACCATACTTGGATCCTATGGGTATGATTTCTTCCATCCATTTCTGTCCTCACAGCATTGCCCCCATCCTCCTCCCATCACTGGCACCACCCCCAGGTGGTGGCCATTAAACAGATTAACGAAGACGCGCGGATGCGTTCCGAGCAGCAGCTGGCCTTTGTGCGGGAGATGAGCGTCCTGACACAGGCGCGGTGCCGATGGTGTGATGGGATGACATTCTCAGTGGTTTCAGGGATGTATATTGTGAAAATCACATTTTTTTATGGGTAATTCAACTATAAATTGCATTTTCAATAGCTATGTTAGTTTACCAGAGGGTATGAATCGTTAATACTATATGTTACAATGTTAGATTCTTATTAATGTCAACCCTGGATTAATAAACCCCGTAAACGGCTGTTCAATTGGGAGGATACCATAAAAAAGTACCATATTATGACTATTGGAGGAGTAACCCCTAATTAATAAACCATGGTTTATTAATTCGGGGTTGACATTATAGTTGAAACCACCATGTACTATGAATTGTTTTTACTATTAATGTACTCTGTATCAACTATTTTTATGAAACCATACATCACTATATATAATGCACCTACATTTTTTGAGATTTATAGTTGATGTATGGTTGGTGTTCTGAATGATTCAGAATCATCAGGATTTGGCATGATTTGAAGAACAATTACATGGGGATATAAAAGATATACCAGAACCAACATCAAAAGAAGCTGATGTATATAAGAAATTTTACATGAATACAACCAGAAACACGGATTCGCTAGCAGAAGGTGTGAGTTGAAGGATCAGAATGACGTATAATAGCACTTGGTAGATGGACGTGCCCCCCAAAAAGGAATGGAGATGCGAACAAACATGAACAATGTTTTGAGAGATTCTACAAATGTGCAAAATTTGCTGAGCATTTGTACTCTTGGAGCGTTACCGCTGTTTGCAAGAACCAATCATGATTCCCAGTTCAGTAAAGTTCATAATCATCCAAAATGGTCGACAATTGGGTGTATGGAGTACTGTTGGGTTTGCCATCACCCATGGAATATATATTTAGAGTCTGTGTTGACAGACAATTATTCAGCTGTTGAATTTTCATCGCAACAAACCAGTTTCAAAGAATCCATTTCCATCCCAAGAAAGCAGTGGTGACCCCCAGCCCCAATGGGGGCCCTCCCAGTTTTGAGTTGGTTTACAGACCAACTATAGAGAAGTGACTATTCTATATTATATTCTACATATATAGATAGTATAGATATCGTAAGCCATAATTTATCTATTGAACTAAACCAACAAGAACCTATCATACATTGAGTATAAATATGACATATTAATATTTTGTTTATTCAATGTATTTGTTTATTGGTTCAATCATGTTCAATTCTCATTTTTGGTGAGAAACCTGCATGGCACCACAAAGACCAGCTCTGTGGCACCCGTTGGAGACGCTTTTGGCGCAGGTGAGACACGAGAACTTGGCGTCTTTGGCTGTCGGGGCTAGAGGCGGTTGCATCCTTCGGCCCGTTGTAGATTTTCTAAAGATCAAATATGTTGAGAGGATTGTTTGGAGGATTGAACAACAAATCGATTGTTATAGATTGTTTCAACACCATGTTGAAAAGATTCTTGTAGAATGGCCCTATATATATATATATATATAGATGTCTCGATGTTTTTTGGGCATCTCTTGGAAGCCAGTGGGATTTTTTCACTTTTCTTGGCATATGTTGGGGCCGGGGGGCTTGGCATATCCAATGCAGATCTGAGGACAAAAAAACTGCCCCCTGGGGAAGCTGCAGAAAGATCCTGGTGAATGTTGGGCTATGAGTCAGCCAGGTATGGAAAAGGGCTATGTTTACATGGAATGAAGCAACAACAATGTTGGGATTTGTATATCATGAGGATAATTCATGATAATATAGTGCGATATAGTGGGATATAAGGAAATTGTAATTGATCACTATTAATCATTAAGCACTATCATTATTCCCAATCATTAACCATTAAGAATCGCTAGTGTGATCAATCACTATTACCACATTATTAATCATTTGCATTAACCATGAATGTGGTTTGTGCTGTTTCCTACAAAAAAACACCGGTTTGCACCATGATTTTTTTTATAATCACTATAAACCCAATCCCGTTCTCTGTTTTGAAGGTGCACTATAATCATTAACCATGAAGAATCATTAACCAGCAAAATAACATGTAAGAACCACTAATAGTGAGTAACCATAGTTATTCACCACCGCCTATTTAACCATTGACCCTAATAACCACTATAGTTATTACTATTGCTATTTAATAACGGGAAGGTTTCGTTTTAGAACGCGGGATAATACTCAATTTGAAACGCGACTTTATTACTCATGTTGAAACGCGACACACTCTGTGCCATGGTTTCCATGGTTTCTATTTTTCTCTGCGGTTTTCCATGGTTTTTATGGTTTCCATGATATCTGTGTGGTTTCCATGGTTTCCATGGTTTCCATACTTTCTTTGCGGTTTCCATGGTTTTTGTGGTTTCCATGATCTCTTTGCGGTTTCCATGGTTTCCATGGTTTGCATGATTTCTTTGCGGTTTCCATGGTTTCCATGGTTTCCATGGTTTGTCTGCGGTTTCCATGGTTTTCATGATTTCTTCTTGCGGTTTCCATGGTTTCCATGGTTTCCATGGTTTCCATGATGTCTGTGCGGTTTCCATGGTTTCCATGATTTCTTGGCGGTTTCCATGGTTTTCCATGGTTTCCATGATTTGTCTGCGGTTTCCATGGTTTCCATGATCTCTTTGCGGTTTCCATGGTTTCCATGGTTTCCATGATGGTTTCCATGATGCGGTTTCCATGGTTTCCATGATTTGTCTGCGGTTTCCATGGTTTTCATGATTTCTTTGCGGTTTCCATGGTTTCCATGGTTTCCACGGTTTCCATGATTTCTTTGCGGTTTCCATGGTTTCCATGGTTTCCATGATTTGTCTGCGGTTTCCATGGTTTCCCTGTTGTCCAAGATTTCTGTACGGTTTTCATAGTTTGCACGGTTTCCATGGTTTCTGTGTTTCCTGAAGCCTCCCAATGCCAACAAGTGAACCGTCCTGGAACCCTGAACAGCAACTGAGATCCCGACTCCAACCGGAAAAGAAATGTTTCAACCCAAAAAACAAAACCAAGTTTCCCCAAAACTCCAAGCAGCCACCTCGCTGCTAGCTGACGCACCTTTGTGCCGCTTGACATCTAAAAGGCTTCGGTCCGGCCCAGATGCAGGTTCTTCAGGATTCCTAGACAACACCCGGTGAGTTGAAGTCTGGACAACACCCGGTGGGTTGAAGTCAAAGCAAAAGTGGAAGTATTTCCATTTGAGAATTGGGTAAATAGGGATGCATGGAATTCTTACACGCACTCCCCCTATGTGATCAGTTCCACTGACCACATATTCAGCTCAAGCCCTCTAAACAAGTCATAACAAGTCTATCATCTGCAGTGCAGCAAATCGCACATGGATTGAAGGCCCGAAGTGGACCATTGGATCCCGCATCACGACAATGCTCATAATCAACATGAAGTGCATATCCATGTGAGATCGCATACAGCCTATGTTGGGGAACGTCTGACTGTGGGCCACATCTGTGACATCGTGGCGTCAGACAAACTTCCTTGGCATGTCTAAGACCATGACATTCACGGTCACAGTGGTATCTTCCACCAAATGGCGTGGTGAAAAGGGGTTTTGGTCCTCTTTGGGAACGATCGGGAGAAGCATCAAAAAAAATAAAAATGCATCAAAAAAAATAAAGATGCATCAAAACAAATATAAATGCATCAAACAAAAAATAAATGACCATGAAGAAAGGGGGGAAGGAGGAAAGGAGGGAAGGAGGAAAGGAGGGAAGAAAGGAAGGAGGGAAGGAGGGAAGGAAGGAAGGAAGGAGGGAAGGAGGAAAGGAGGGAAGGAGGAAAGGAGGGAAGGAGGGAAGGAGGAAAGGAGAAAAGGAGGGAAGGAAGGAAGGAGGCAGGCAGGCAGGCAGGCAGGAAGGAAGGAAGGAAGGAAGAAAGGAAATAAGGAGGGAAGGAGGAAAGGAGGAAAGGAGGGAAGGAAGGAAGGAAGGAGGGAAGGAGGGAAGGAAGGAAGGAAGGAGGGAAGGAGGAAAGGAGGGAAGGAGGAAAGGAGGGAAGGAGGAAAGGAGGGAAGGAGGGAAGGATGCAAGGGGGGAACGAAGGGAAGGAAGGAAGGAAGGGAAGGAAGGAAGGGAAGGAAGGAAGGAAGGACCATGTGTGCAGTCAACACTTATCATCGGTTATTTGCGTTCATTTCATCTTCATTGATCTCCATCGCAACTTGTGCCTATGTACTTCTTTCATGTTCTTTCTTGGTACGCATTGCAGGGGACCCCCCACCCGCTTTTGTTTTTTCATCAGCTTCCCTTGCTACCTACTCTCTTGCCTTTTGCTCATAAGCATCGTTTCTTAGGGTTCATTTTCTCTTTCTTCTTCTTTCAAAATATCCATCGAGACTTGTGCCTATGTGCTTCTTTCTTGATCTTCTCGTTCTTACTTGCAATATATCCATTGAGACTTGTGCCTATGTGCTTCTCTCTTGGTACGCATTGCGGGGGGAGGCGCTGCGCCCTCTCCCCTGCAGCCCCCCACCCGCTTTTATTTTTAAAACGGTTCCCCTTGCTACCTACTATTCCTTTTTTTGCATAAGCATCATCGTTTATTTGGGTTAATTTCATCTTTGTTGATATCCATCGAGACTTGTGCCTATGTGCTTCTTTTTTGATCTTCTCGTTCTTACTTGCAATATATCCATTGAGACTTGTGCCTATGTGCTTCTCTCTTGGTACGCATTGCGGGGGGAGGCGCTGCGCCCTCCCCCCTGCACCCCTCCACCCGCTTTTATTTTTAAAACGGTTCCCCTTGCTACCTACTATTCCTTTTGTTTTAATGCATAAGCATCATCGTTTATTTGGGTTAATTTCATCTTTGTTGATATCCATCGAGACTTGTGCCTACGTGCTTCTTTCTTGATCTTCTCGTTCTTACTTGCAATATATCCATTGAGACTTGTGCCTATGTGCTTCTCTCTTGGTACGCATTGCAGGGGGAGGCGCTGCGCCCTCCCCCCTGCACCCCCCCACCCGCTTTTATTTTTAAACCGGTTCCCCTTGCTACCTACTATTCCTTTCTTTTTGCATAAGCATCATCTTTTATTTGGGTTAATTTCATCTTTGCTGATATCCATCGAGACTTGTGCCTATGTGCTTCTTTTTTGATCTTCTCGTTCTTACTTGCAATATATCCATTGAGACTTGTGCCTATGTGCTTCTCTCTTGGTACGCATTGCGGGGGGAGGCGCTGCGCCCTCCCCCATGCACCCTCCCACCCGCTTTTATTTTTAAACCGGTTCCCTTTGCTACCTACTATTCCTTTCTTTTTGCATAAGCATCATCGTTTATTTGGGTTAATTTCATCTTTGCTGATATCCATCGAGACTTGTGCCTATGTGCTTCTTTCTTGATCTTGTCGTTCTTACTTGCAATATATCCATTGAGACTTGTGCCTATGTGCTTCTCTCTTGGTACGCATTGCGGGGGGAGGCGCTGCGCCCTCCCCCCTGCACCCCCCCACCCGCTTTTATTTTTAAACCGGTTCCCCTTGCTACCTACTATTCCTTCTGCTGCTGCTACTGCTACTACTACTACTGCTACTACTACTACTACTACGACTACTACGACTACGACTACGACTACGACTACGACGACGACGATGACGACTACTACTACTACTACTACTACGACTACGACTACTACTACTGCTGCTGCTGCTGCTTCTGCTGCTGCTAGTGCTGCTAGTGCTGCTACTACTGCTACTACTACTACTACTACTACTACTAGTACTACTACTACTACTATTACTACTACTACTACTACTGCTACTACTACTACTACTCCTCCTACTACTACTATGATAATTTTTTTTTTGATACGGATATTTTTTTTGATCTAGGTTTGCAGCAGGAAACCCGTGAGGTCTCACACAGTGGCACCTGGATATTTTTTTGATGCATATATTTTTTTTGATGCGTGCTGGATATTTTTTGTTTGATGCATTTTTATTTCTTTTTTGATACGTGTCTCGAACGAGATCCTCATGAATTGCCGGACAAAGCTGCCACAAATAGATGGCTGACGGGAAAAGACTCAAGCCTTTTGCGGTCACATTGCATTTATGACAGGGATGAATCTCCTTGTAAGAGCTAACTTGTTTTTTTGATTGTTTTTGTTTGAAGAGCTGATTTGCTAGGGTTTCATCAATGTGCTGTGGTGTTACAAGCGCCATGGTGGTTACAAAGAAATGCTATGCCTTCCAGATGTCTTAAACAGCAGTATTTTGGATGTGTTTCAAAATGATCCTTATCCAGGGCGTTTGTGTTTCAAAATGATCCTTATCCGTCTGTGTTTCAAAATGATCCTTATCCGGTGTTTCAAAATGATCCGGGTCCCTTTAATAACCATTTACCAGAGGGTAATCATGATTATTCACCTTAATCACTAACATTAGCATTATTCTAATGGTTTTCTTTCCTGGTAGAATCCTCATTATATTTAAACACTGGTTAAATCATTCACCATTCATTAACCATAGGATGTTTTCACCAGCGCAAACCCATGTTTTACCCTCTGGTAAACTAACACAGCTATTGAAAATGGTCATTTTTAGTGTTTTTTTCCCATTAAAAATCGTGATTTTCCATAGCTATTTTGACATAACCAGAGGGTAACCGTCGTTCTGCCCCAAGGTTCAGCTCTACGGCGTCTGCCTGGACTCGCGTCCGTTGCGCATCGTCACGGAGTACTGCGGCGGCGGCGCGGTCTTCGAGCTGCTGCACCAGGGGCAGCCGCCCGTGGAGCTGGTGGGGATGGGGATGATGGGGGGCTTTTGGGACCTGGGGGACCTGGGGAGGCTGGGAAAAACCTAGGAAAAATGGTGAAAAATGAGGATTTCATGGTGAAAAATGAGGATAACATGAGAGAAATTTGAAAAAACAATGGGGAAACAAGGATGAAACATGGGGAAAAAGGGAGAAAATCATGATGACACACTTGGGTTTAAGATGGTTGAAAGGGAGTTGAAAGGGAGAATGGGGTACTGTAAATGTGCCTGTTTTTTGTTGACATGTTGGGGATTTGGCTTTGATTTTGGTGGTAGTCTTCCAAAACATATTCAGATTTGTTCGCGATTATTGCAAAGTTATGGAATGAAATTAGATGAGAGACATCCAAGAGTGAATTCAAAATGATGAACTTGTTTTTTGAATTCAAAAAATGTATCTGAAAAAATATGTGTTGCAGGTACGCAGCAGGCCCAGTTTTTCAGCTAGAACATTAGGTGGATGAGGTTGGATAGGTGTTTGTATTATGTACCCTCTGGTAATGACTGTTACATAGCGAACTGGAAAGATCCACCATGCTATTAATGGGTATATCCACTATAAATGGTGATTTTCCATAGCTATGCAACAAATTACCAGAGGGTATAACATCCAACGTTTATGATCTGTAAAAGTTAGTTGGGGATGAAGAAACCACAATTGTAGAGCTGGGTTTGGATTGGGTTGGGATGGTGGGATTTATTGGGAGTGTGTTGAAGATCCAGTGGTTTTGCGTAGGTACTGATTGCTATTTGGTTGTTTCTTGGCGCCCAAGAAAACCTCAGTTGAAGCCACAAACAACGCGCTTCAACGAGGAAAACTTGCAAATTTCTTCAGCCAGCCAGAAATACAGTGGCAGCCATCACATGGTGTGGGATGAACTCAGGATGATGTTGACATTTTTTCGGAATCGATGTCCAGTGAAAAAGCCAAAAAGACTGAGGATAATCAATCGACCCTTGGATTACCATGATTACCATTTCCAGAGAATTTCAATGCCCTTATCTCCTACAATTCCCTAGCAATAGAATGCCATTGCCACTCCAGAGGATATACCTACCCTCAATCAAATGCCCATAGGATCCATGGTGCTGGTATATATGCTAACATAACTCGGGTATATTGATGGGATCCATGGCACACCATATGCACCATGGGTCCTATGGGATGTGGCTACCTGGCATTCTATAAATGGGGACATCCCAGACATCCCGCTACCAGACATCCCAGACATCCCAGACATCCCAGACATCCCGCTGGGACGTACCGAGCTCGGAAAATACCTATGATATGACAGCGACTAAAGTTTCACCCGTTGGAAGCCCGCTAATAAGTGTTATTTCCATCTAATTCTGCACGCAGGTCAGCCCTGGCAACTTGTTTTGAACCACAAAGCGGCTATGCCGTCTCGATTTGGCGTGTCATCCTGTGCAGGTGGCTGTGCTAATCTTCTCTGACTTTCTCAGCAAGACTAAAACCTACACAACTGAACATGCTGTTTCACGTTTCAAATTGGAGTGTCTGACATCCATGCACTCCTCCCAGGATTGACATGTTCATGCAATCCTGCTTTCTGGAAAATTTTGAGCTCTCTAGGCCCAAGCCGCTAAGCACACCTTTGGCATGCATCATATCCGGTCAGCTCTCCCACAACCTTAGGGCACTTCTTCTTCGTATGGACTAACTGGTTCTTATCCATCATCATCACGTCAGCCACCAAGTAGGTGTCGCCACATTCACCACAAAGCGGCTTTCTTCCTTTCCAAGACTGTGCCAACGTCGGGCATCCACTGCTTCTATGGAATCTCCTCCCATTTGGTGTGATGATTGGCCCCACCAGGTTCGGCTTCTCTGCACTATCTGAACGCGCAGACTGAGCTCCCTCTCCTTGGTTAGGCTTTGCACCACTCGGACCCGCAGACTGGGCTCCCTCTCCTCCAGGGTTCCCACAGCGCCATCCAGGAGTGGGCACTGCTCCGCTCGGACCCGCAGACTGGGCTCCCTCTCCTCCAGGGTTCCCACAGCGTCGTCCAGGACGAGCAGACTGGGCTCCCTCTCCTCCAGGGTTCCCACAGCTCCGTCCTTGAGCGGGCATAGGAGGCACTGTCTGTGCTCCCTTTTTGTCATGTCGTTCCTCCGTGCCTTTCTCGGTTGTGTGACTGTCGCTTCTGGTAGCGGAGCTTCCTCCTTCCTGTCTTTTTTCATTGGAACCTTTGTTTTCAGCTTTTCTCATCCTCAGAGTCGCCACTTTCACGGTGGTCTGTTCTCCTTCTTCACAACTTATCTCTTCTTCTTCTTCGCGTACATGAAGTTGGTGACGTTCTCGATCGCGCATGAAGCCGCGAAAGTCGCGCGTAAGGCCGCGAGAGTCGCGCATAAGGCCGCGAGAGTCGCGCATAAGGGCGCGAGAGTCGCGCGTAAGGGCGCGAGCTTGGCATTCCTCGTGATCTCTCTTCTCATGAAAGATCTTCCACATTCTTTCTACCAACTTGTACAAAACCACTCCAAGGATCATCATCAACAAGCCAAATGCCGCCAAAACTTCTGATCCTTCTTCCGTCTCACTCTTGTCCATGGCATATACTCTTTCTACCTTCTGAAGTACCGCCATGAGGGTGGCGATCTTTACCACCTTTTCCATATCTCCTGCAAAGACCTTCTTGGATACCGTCACAGCTGGTTCTCTGTCCTGTTCCTCTGCCAATTTTTCTTCCTCTTTCTCAATCCTTTCTTCCTTCGCTCTGGAGAAAGCTACTACATCTGGTAGCCATTCCAGATTCATCTTCTTTGACAGATCCTTCGTTTTGTTGGCACCAAGAAGCTTTGTACCCATGTCTGCGACGAGCTCTGTGCCCCGTCGATGGTGCATCTTCCAGTCTCCAGCTTCCACCCTCCATTTGAGGTGTGTCGCACGTACTTTCAAATGCCGTGTGCGCCAAGCTCCTGTCCGCGTGGTGGACAAAGCCACGGCTGCCATGTTGTCACATACCAGCTGCTTATCCACTCTTCCTTCCAACTCCTCCACTATGCATGCTAAAGAGTCTCCAACTATGACTCCCTCGATGGCTTCTACCAGCTCAGTCTCTGCGGTAGTCCGTGTGCAGGCGTACGACTGGGTAGCCATACCTTCTGAGCTTCACCACCAATTCTTGGACTCCTGACAAAACATCCAGCGCATGCTTTGAGGCTAATGGCACACATGTCATCAGCTTCAGCATTCCTTTTGTCTTCAACTTTTCTTCCAGCCTTCCTTCTTCAGTCTTCTCCTCAGCACTTTCTGCATCCTCAGGAGGCTTCTCTTCCTCCCCTTTCCTTTTCGATGCTGGTCTTGAAGGTAAACCCTCTGCTTGAGCCTCCTTCTTGGGTGGCGAGGAAGAAGACGCTGACGCCTCCCTTTGCTCTACCTCTTCATCTTCCAAAACCGGAAGCATTTCATCATCTTCAGCAGTCTCCTCATCCAACATCCCCAAGCTTTCATCAGAGTCCTTACCTTCCACTGGCTACGTGTAGGAGCCGACCAAAAGGTATTTCTTCTCTTCACCATCCACGTCCTGACCCCACTTCAATGGGCCACAAATGTCAACAGCTAAACAATGCGCTTCTGGATCATCATGTCTTCTATGCGGCCTTTGTCTCGCTGCTGACCTCTGGCAAACCACGCAATCGCGCCGAAACGGCACATGTCCATTGTCAACGTGGGCAGTCCACGACAACTTCTTCAGTCGAACTTCTTTTCCTTCTACTTCCTCTATCAAAAGCCTTGCAACTTCATGCATCATCCCAGGAGCCCACCTCGAGAGCTTACTGGAATCCAGTTCTGGACCTTGTTCTCTGCTCCTCCCACCATGTACTAGTAGGTCTGGTGGTTGAAACCCAAGGTTTGTTCCGCATGTTGTTGGCTTTCTCGCTTCACCTCCAAAATCTCCTTGGTAAAACGTCACTTCTTCCATCTGGTAGTAGTGCTTGAACAGCAACCATGTTCGATTTCTCCACCACGAAGCGCATTCTGGACACCACTCCGGTGCTGCTGGCTGCTCCAACAGAAATCCAACCTTGGCCTTCAAACACCTCTTGCTTCTTTCTTTCACCATTGCATCTCTCGCTATCTGTGCAACCATGTACAGGGTCAGCATCCTCAGCATCAATGCATCGTCCTGCAACAACTTTCCTTGTTCATCAGGGGGAGCATCTGGAAGTCCCCAAGGGTATCCCGCCGTCCTCGATGGTCCTGGGAAGCCTTCTCTTGGTGTGTGTCGCAGCACTGAACGTGTGCGGCAATTTGGGCCACCAACCACTGCATCAATGGCTCCTAGCATTGCCAGCTTGAGGAGGGGACTGTACATCCCTCCAATTCTCAACATGTCATGATGTGCTCCTCTCTTCACGTCTATTTCGATCAACCTCGTGCCATCACCTCCCTTCTCCAAGTAGGCTCTCTTCAGAGTCAGGCCTTCTTCTGGCCCGGCGTACAAATGTACAGTGACCCCTTGTTCAATCCATCGTCTCCTGGTTCTTCTGTTGGCCTTCAAAAGCGAAAGGTCTTCGGCCGGCACTTCCACTAGGTTGTCCTTGACAAGTGAGGGTATTGAGGCCAGTACTGGATGTTTCTCTACCAACTCAGCCATCCATTCTGCGCCCCAACATGCATCATCATATGCCACTTTTTTCATGCTTCGAAGCGACATCATTCCTTCAAGTTCATCCACCATCTTTTCCGCTTCTGCCTGGGTGATCTGTGGACATCCTTCTTCGACCCCCACTGCTATCTGTCCCCTGATGGGGTGGAAAAGAAAGCATTCATCATCTTTCCACTCAAAGCTGCATCCCAGTTCTCGTACTAGACGACCAACTGGTAGTATCGGTTCCATCCCTGGTTCTTCATGTACCAGGGTTCCTCCATCCGTCATCCACATTGTCTTTGAACCTCCAGCTGCAAGGTTCACTCTCACTTTCTTGTACTCTTTGCCCGCAACCAGGTTCTCATCACTCCTCTTGGACCTCAGAGCGTGAGTGGCTCCAGTATCCAGCAACGCTTTCTTGCCGAACTTGACTCGGGCAACCATGGCAGTCTTCATCATATTGATTCTAGGCTTCCACGATCCGTCCTGAATCTGTTGCAACTCCTTCTGTAGCTCCAGCATCCGTCCTTTGGTCATTTCTTCCCTGGTCTTTGTAGGCTTTTCTTCAACTCCCATGCTCTTCAGCATCTTCGAAGCTTCTTCCATGACGCTTCGCAGAGAGTCTCCTCCAACACTAGCAACTTCTCCTTTGGTGGTCTCAGCCTCCTTTGTTGCCACTGCTGGGGCCTCAGCAGGGGCAGGGCTCTTATTGGCGGTTTTGTTGGGGGCCTCAGCCTCCTTTTCCACTTTCTGCACCTTTGGGTCTTTTTGAATGTCCTTGCGTGGACACTCCCTCGCAAAATGCTTGGTGGATCCGCACACATAGCACCTTTTCTCCCCTGGCTCTACATTGTGTCCCCAAGTGCAAGCTGCACCACGTCTGCAACCATCCTCCTGATGAAAGAACTTGCATTCCTTCACATTCTTTTTCACATTCTTGTCCTCTGTGCTCCCACTGCTTGCGGCGTTCAACTGCTTCACCTGGCTGGTTGTAGCTGTCGCTCTTTCTGCATTAGCCACCTTTGACCTTTTCTCCAAGTGGACCAGTTGCTCCAGTTCCGACAGTAGGTGTTCAGAGTACGTCCTCACAGTTTGATGGTTTGGAATTGTATCCAATTGGAGTGTGTTTCTGACAAGTGAGGTTCTGAAAGCTAGTTCTGGGTTGTTGTTCAGCAGCTTCTTCATCAACTTTGTCAGACCACGCAAAAGTATAGTGGAATCGGGTAAGCATAACCCGACATCCTGAGCTCTTCTCAACCATCGCAACCACTTCCGAAGACTTTGGACTCCAGTCACTGCGTTTCCTGCTTCGCCAGGATCCTCCAACTGACGCAGAATCACAGTTCGTTCATGTAGTCCACCAGGCTGGTAGATGGTCATCAACTTGGCAATCACCTTCACTGGAGAAAGTGACTTGGTAGCAACAAGCTCTTCTCTCACTCCAGTGGGTATGGCATCCATGAGCATGGAAACAGCTCGGCGTTCCACTCGAACCCACTTCGTCTTCTTCAGTTCTTCAGAGGCCTCGATCTCAAAGCTTGTTCTTTGAAGTGGTCGGAGCTTCACATACTCAGAGTACCATGCGCTGCATTCATCCAGCACAAGTCGCCACCAAACATGCGAACTGTCTGACAGATCCGTCATCACCGGCTCTATCATGGTCAACCAGTCGGCATAGTCAATGGGGGCCGTTTCGGTCGGCTCCTGGAGGGTCTGTAACTTGTTCACTCCAGGTTTGACCGCTTCCATCTTTTCTCCATCATCTTTACATTGCTGACTTTCCAGAAGGTGCAACATCATCTTAGACAGGACATCAACCTGCCTTTGCATTCTTCCATCATCAGCTGGCTCCAACGCATTTCCTTGGTTCTTCCTGGCATCTCCTCCGGTCCCTTTCTCACCTGCTTCCTTCTTTGGAACATCTCTTTCTTTCTGTCGTGCTCCTTCTGAAGGTTGATGAGATTCCCAAGGTCCTCGAAGGTCTCGTCCAGGAGGTGGCTTCTTCACTGAACCCACCGCAGCATCCATCACCTTTTGCAATTCATCATATTGCTCCATCGGTGTCAACTCGTACAGCCTTCTCCTCTCGGATTCCAAGTCATTCTCTGTCTTCACAACCCGGTCTTCAGCTGCACGGCTTCCTTGCTGTTGGCTTTCCGGAGTCTGAAACCCTTCCACTTCAGGCTTAGCCTTTCTTCCTCCTTCGCCATTTGGCACCTCTACCTCAGAGGTCTTTCTTTCTTCCTTCTCCCTCAGCTTTTCTTTCAGCAACTCCTGTTCCATCTTCAGCTGCATGTTCTCTTGCTGCAACATGAAGAAGTACTGCATCATCTGCTGCTGATAAATCACTGAGGGCGTACCAGCAGGCATCGCTGCAGGTCTTTCTGCAGGTAGAAACTTCGGTCTTTCCAACTGCACATCTTCCAAAGCTAAACCTGAAGACCTGGCTTCATCCTCTATTCCTAGCTGCGTCCTCTGTGGACTTCCATACAACAGAGGTGCTCTGTTGTGCAGTTCTTCAAACTGCCTCACTTGTTCTTCGGTGAACAGCGGCTCTAGCTCTTTTTTGGGTTCTTCATTCTCTACATCTTTCTTTTCATCTTCAAGTTCCAACATTTGAGGGTTTTGAGGTCCATAACTCACAGGTCTCCCAGTTGGCCCAAGCATCTCCTCTTCTGGCCTTTCTTCGCCTGATCGGTCAGCTTCAGGACTTCCACTGGCTCTCCTGCGCATCATCATGGCTCCTCAGCAGCGGCTAACGACAGGTTGGGCTCATAACCTGCACGCAGGTCAGCCCTGGCAACTTGTTTTGAACCACAAAGCGGCTATGCCGTCTCGATTTGGCGTGTCATCCTGTGCAGGTGGCTGTGCTAATCTTCTCTGACTTTCTCAGCAAGACTAAAACCTACACAACTGAACATGCTGTTTCACGTTTCAAATTGGAGTGTCTGACATCCATGCAAATTCCAATGTTTGTGTTCCTCGTTTCAACATATATGTGTCCTGTTTCAATAAACTGTCAGCTTAAACAAACTTCTCTCAGATGTTTCTTAAGCGTGAACCGTTCTTCTTCGTTTTTTCGTTCTGAAACGTTTTGATTGTCGTTCCTTATTTCTTTGTTCCAGGTCTATGCGCAGCAGATCAAGATGTGTCGAGATACTGCCAGAGCCATGTGCTATTTGCATACCTTCAATCCCATGATCATCCACAGAGACCTGAAATCTCTCAACATGTTGCTGGACAAGCCGGTCACAGGCCAGCTTAAGCCAAGACATTCTGATGGTGTTGTGGATTTCACGGTGTTTCGGTGAGATGGAGTACATGGTGATGATAGAAATATCGTGTGCACAACATTTTTCGGAATATTAGGAATATAGTGAACATGACAGGAATATTAGTACTTTGGGGAATATAGTGTACTCTAGTGTACCATAGTAATATTAACATGATAGTATATTAGTACTATTAGATGTAATATTAACATGATATTAACTTTGCAAAAAAAATGGAGTACTATATTACTATAGTGCAGTGTACTGTATTTATATGATGGTACTATACTATAGTGTACA